CGGTGAAACGTAATCACCGGAATCGTCAGTTCGTACTAAAAAGTACAATGTCCTGGAAGGTTTTCATTCAAATCGAGAGTTCGATGGGCCTGAGATGAGTAGCTCACACTTATTTGAGATGAGAATTGAAACTATTTTGATACTTTGAATGAATATCAAGATCACATTCTATCGCCGTGATGAATTCCGAAACAGAAAGTTCATTCTCGATCTGTGATTGGCTAATGCTGAATATGAGGAATCTGATTCGCTGAACTGAAGATGATTGACAGAGGAGACAAAAAATTATGGGTTTGCAAACTGATCTTAGTAGCAAAAACACCTGTTGAGCACTTTTAGCTTAGTTGACATTTAGATGAGCTACAGTAAAARACTCAATTAAAACCGCAAAGACTCAAACTTGTAAGAAGGAATGCGAATAAAAACTTGTAATCTAAAACGAGTGCAGAAGTGCCTAGCGAGTGCCTCTACATCGACCAGCAATCCATATAGTAACCTCGATGATTAGCCGATAATCAATCAATCAATTACGAGAGTAAAATATAAAATACCATTTTCCCCTATTATTATTATTATTGAAAACTATATATTTTACTCTGAATTCGGTTTATTTTATAGAGGATATTACATGGGCGCGCGGAGATATGGATTTTATCTTCGAGTGTTGAACTGATATGGGATATCTTTTCAACACGAGAAGATAAAATTCATATCTCCAAGCGACCATGTAATGTTCTGTTTATTATATGATTAAAAAATACTGACAAGATTGACTAATGAAGAATTTTATTTCAATTTTTTAGCGAAAAACACACACGCACAACTTTCTGCATTCGTACATGATWAGTTAACTCCAGTGTTTCATTTCTCAAAGATTCAAGAAATTAAAATACAGAGAAATTTTATAAAAAATGATCTAAGCAATCAAAATTAAAAGCCAGAAAAGTTCAGGCAAAAAATACAAGTTTTAAAACTAGCGGTTCCTATCGAAATTGAAGTGCTGCGATATGTAAATTCTGCGATGCTTGTTCAAATTGAAAAAAAAAGAAAGAAGATTAGAACTTATATGTACACTTTATTACAGACCGTATTTTTTTAATTTTTAATTGTTTTGATTTGTTTGCCTCGTCGGGCGATTGGTTTCGCTGGTTTGCCTAAATGTGCGATGGAAGTTATGTCATCGGAGACCAAAGGACTCGACCTGGCAGATAATTCAGAGAAATAGTCTCTTTATCAGGTATAGAGCGCTTTTCGAATGCTGTTAAAAAGATCTCCTTCGGCCAAAACACAATGATCCATCGTATCTGTCGTCCACGTCGAAATATCATCACAATGTGCAAAGAACAAAGCTGAAAGACTCACAAAAGCACATTGCCTTCCTCTAGAAATGTCGCTAAAACGATTATCACCTTAATGAATACTTCCTCGAATAAATAAAGTCGCATTTTAACATGCTAAATACTTGTCGAACTTGCCTTTGCAAGAGATCGAAAAGCAATAGAAAGACCACAGGGAGCCCAAGCAGTGACTTTGAACCTATAATTCTCTACTTGCACATGACCCATAATACCTTCTGAATTTGGGGAGTAGGTTTTGTGATGCAAATAAAATTAATTGTTATTCAAATATAAATGATTTCAATAACAATAACTACCCCCCAAAATCAGAAGGTATTATGGGTATGCGCAAGTAGAGAATAGTTAAAAACTGAAAATTTTACTCAAAAATGGTCTACTTTTATTTTATTCAGTGTCACAATGCATTATAAATGGGTTTTAAAAAATATTCCCTACCTATATATATATATATTTAATTTCGGTGCGAAAAGGATTTTTGTCGATCGTTTTTGGCTCATTTTTAGGAGAGTCTCCTCCCTTGTCACTATATATATATAGGTAGGGGATATTTTTTACAACCCATTTATAATGCATTGTGACACTGAATAAAATAAAAGTAGACCATTTTTTTGAGTAAAATTTTATTTTTAACTATTATAGGTTCAAAGTCACTGCTTGGGCTCCCTGTGGAAAGACCATGCAGTTGACGGCGCATCATTTGATAATAACCGCTGATTATGTAATGTTTACTGTAGGCGCTCGAAGTGTCTATCCGCTAGCCCACTAAATCGACTTTCGTCTTCAGTATGTATGGCACAGGGAACCCAAAAGGCCTGCGGGTTTAGTGTCGCTGCTCACTTCATGTCACTTCGTTCGCAGCAATAAACTTATAAAGTTTGTCATTTTTACCCCGTCACTCTTGGCTTTCGTCGCTGCTTWCTACAACGCGTATACGTTTCCACTTTTTRCATTCCATAGTGCTTTCTCGTTTTTTCTGCTGCAAGTTTACAAGTAATATTGAATGCCCCTCCTCTAATCGTCCCAGAAATTAGAGAACCAAAAGCTGAAGTGGCTGCTTGCTGTTCGGCCTTATGACTGACACGATATTCCTCTGTCGACTCGGCAGCAGCTTGTTTTGTTGTTGTTGTTGTTGTGCATGAACATTGGGCAGATGTAGGACCTCTAAATGCCAAAATGTTTGATATGTTCTCTTGATGATTGTCTTGTTCACCGAGTTGGTCATTACGGTGCCCCGTGATTTGCATGATCTGAGTAGGCGGTACATTGTTGTCTCGATCCGTTTTGACAATAGGTCATTCAGAACTGTGGTTGAAAGTTCATGAATTGAACTTGAACTGAGTATTTCGGGGCTCACTGCTTGAATAAACTCGGTAAAAAGTAGGATGTCGTACGCTGTTTTTCGTTTTGTATTTACATTTTCCTGTTTATCGACGAAATCATGGATGTCTTCGTCAGTTACATTTACCACAAACCTTGGCAAAGGTTCTCACGTACTATTCATGGTTTCTTTCTTGTACAAAAAAAAAACACGTCAAAGTTTTTAGTGAACGCGCGTTGTGTTCTAATTTGCATATTCCAGATGCCCGCGAAAATGCTGAAATCTCATTGGTTAAAACTTGTTATCGCCACAGTGTTGATAACATTGATATCRACACCGGTGGCAGTGGGGATATCAGTTTTATCATTTTGATATTCCCTAGTATCACACTATATCATATAATAAATCTATACATTTCGTATAGAGATCGGAAGGCGATCGGGAGACCCGAAGGTAAACTTCTGACTTGAAAAAAAAAAAAAATTATACGCACTGCATTTTATGACTCGTGACCCGGCGTAGGGCCAGGTCACGAGTAACTAGACGCTCTTGGAGCGTGAAGTCGGACTAGCTGTTTTTGAAAATTGAGAAAGACAGTAAAAATACATATTTCTTTTTTTTCCCAAAATAGCCGAACTCACGGTCTAATAAGAGCGTCTAGTTCAAAATATGCAAAATTTCTTGACCTAAAAGGTCATGTAATTAACACCGATATGAACGTTTTGAAAGAGTCCATGCTTTGAATGATAAAATCAAAGGTGGCAGACAACMTGTCGCTAAGTGATATCATGATATATAATACGTTGACCTCTCAGACCAAGAAAAATACTTACCAAAGTAAAAGATGCCTATAAAATCGCCTTTTTGTTATTGATAAACAAAGTTTCTTCTTGTTCTAATTTGAAATCTTTGCCCACACAAGACTGTCTARCTCTAGAAAGTTTCGTAAGCATACTACTCGAAGCTTCATGCGATCTGCACATGCGCGTACTTCTGATGCCTAGACTGATGCATTCCGATTAGATCGCAGGTATTAGATTTGTAAACGAATAGTTTTTT